TAAGAAGAAGAAATTCCACTAACTTATACAAACCGAACGTTTTTTTTCTCCAATCCTCCTTTTACTGTTGAGTCCCATTTATTTTCTTTTGTTTCAAATTGAATACCAATCACACCTAAAGACATCACAATGACAATGATATTTCTTGATGTATAACCCATAAATATACAAGGAATATACAAAAACTACATGAAGTCATGACAATGGCCAAAGTAAAGGAAATATAAACCTAATCAATGGATGATGTCCATGTGTGATGAAAACAAACAAATGAGGTCATCTTCATTAAGTTTTCTAAACCATTATGACCGTACACAACATACAAAAAGTAATCAAGATTTATTTATGATGCCAATCCTCAAAATAAAAACGTCACTAAGAGGGTTTTGAGTACAAGTTCAAAATGCTTTATGGTATTCCCATAAGGAAATACCAAATATAAAAGTACAATCACTACTCAGAAACGACAAAGTGGATAAAAGTGATATCTCCGAAGTCCGTGAAAGCTTCAGGAAAAACAGATACTCCTATGCACAACTTATACTTGTGCACCTCAAGCTCTTGTTGGAATCATTCCCTAGACATCGACATCAATTGGTTAGTGACACAATCGACTTGATTCTTCAAAAAATAAATCTCTGCTTCGTTAGCAACAATAACAGAAATTGTGACATTTGATTTCCACTTTCCCATCTCTCTTCAGAAGGTTGTTAGCCTCTCGAAGAAAGATGCTTTCTCTTTACAACCATCGAGTTCTGTCGTGACATGATGGCATATGAACATCACATATACACAAGATAAGACATTGTTTTATTTATTGTTCGGCAAAAAAACTCTACCGAAATATAGCTGATTATGCATTTCATTGTACGATATAGGTCTGGTTTGGATTGTAAACCTTAAACCCTTTGGTTTTTCCTTTTCAAAAGGCAATATTTTTTTCTTTTCAAAAAATGAATTAGTTGAGAAGAAAAACTAATCGTACGTTTGTGAAATTTACATTGTGCCATGATTATTATGTGTTGAACCTATAATTAAATTTATTATAATGCGCAAAAATATCATAAACATGTAATGTGGATTCCGAAAATATCATAACCATGATATTAAATTGTAAAGTTTACAAGAGAAATTTTAAAAACTAAAAAAATGAATATGTGCTCGAGTTTTTTTTTTAATCCCAAGAAGTTCTCTACTTTTTTTAACGCTAAACAAGAATTGCATAAATTGACCAATGTTTACATCATCGAAAAAAGAGAGGAATCAAGCCCAATCAAAAGCCTACAAAGAGAGAAAGACAATCAGACCGAGGATAGCCTTTCAGCCTCTTCGAGAAAAAGGGACCTAAGCCAAGCAGGCGGACCCGAGGCTCGAGTTATATTGGAACAAACTTGACAGAAACCATATTGAATAACTTAGAATCATTCTTCTAGGTGTGATTGGTGTGAGTAG